CATCCTTCCGAGGTGGGTGAAATGAGGACCCGGATTGTTGTTGGGGGCAATATGCTGACTCTGTAAACTGCTTAGAGAGGGCTGAAAGCCCTATGCAGCGGTATATAAGTCTGCTATTGTTATTGCTAATATAGCAATATAATATATTATACTATACTATAACATAATATAACATAACATAATATTCCAATTTTTCTGCTTTCTTCAGCCAAGGTGCAGTTCATAACTCTTGGACTGCAACTCCGTGTCAGGGTGAGGATTAATGAAAACTATAATGCTGCCTAGTGTAAAGCGAGTCGGGCGCAGTATAAATTTATTATAAACAATAATAGTCGGGGGCGCCACGTTGCAGAAGCCTTCCCCGTTAAGAATGTCCCTGAGACCCGAGCAGGGAGAGGAGGGGCGAGTAACCATGGGAACGGATAACGATTTTCACAAAACCCGCCTCCGAGGGCCATTTCGACCAATGCTTACCGCCCGTGTGACGCGCAGGTACGCGACGTCAAGACCTCGCAAAACCACGCCCTCTTCTCTTTTCTAAAGGCTTCTCTTTCTCTCTCTCTCTCCCCCCCACCCTGTCTGTCTGTCTCTCTCTCTCCACCCCACCTCTTTTTGGCGCCTGCGCACTACTCCTGCTGGCGTCACCCTCCTGGTTCTCCCGGCGGTTGGAGCCAAGCGGGTGACCGACGGGCGCTCGCGCCGGCCGGGACCCACCCCTTTCCCTCGTCCCTCCAATCCGCGCGAGGCAAGGAGGTTCCTTCCCCTTCCTGATTGGGCGGCGGGACGGAGGGTGGGCGGGGCGGTCCGACTGGGAGGTGGGGCCTGGCCTGAGGAGAGGCGGGCGGCGGGCGGAGCCGGCATTGCCTCAGCGGCGCGGGCGAGCTGGTGTCGTGGCCGAGGCTGGGCTCGGCTCCCGCTTCCCTCAGTCTCGCCCGGAGGAACTCCCGCCGTCTCACGACCGCCGGCCGCTCCTCCCTCCCTCTCTCCGCGCGTCGGGCCGGGTCCGTGAGGGGAAAAGGCCTAACTCCCCTCAGGCGCCTGAGGAGAAGAAGGCCTGAGGCGGCGCTGCCCGTCCTCCTCCTCTTCCTCCTCCTCTTCTTCCCCCCCGCCCGAGAGTCAGCCGGGGAGACCCGGCGGCGGCGGCGGCGGCTCCTTCTCTCCTCCTCCCGCTCCTCCTCCTCCTCCTCTTCCTCCTCCTCTTCTTCCCCCCCGCCCGAGAGTCAGCCGGGGAGACCCGGCGGCGGCGGCTCCTTCTCTCCTCCTCCCGCTCCTCCTCCTCCTCCTCTTCCTCCGGCAGCGGTGTATTACCATCATCCCCATCATGTCGGCGGGCGGGGATTTCGGCAACCCGCTGCGGAAATTCAAGCTGGTCTTCCTCGGCGAGCAAAGCGGTGAGTGGCGGGCCGGCCCAGCGCCCTAGTCGGGCCTTACGACGGCGATGGCCTCAGCGCGGAGACTACAACTCCCATGAGCCCCCGCGCGGGCAAGGCGG